TAAAAAGTTTTGACTTGAGAACCCCGCTACCCCCTTTATTGCAAGAAATAAGAAACGGAGGGAGTATGTTTTGACTTGATTTACTTATCATAATTAGTGTCATTGAATATAAAGAAGGAATATGTAAGTAAATTTTTTTTTTTACATTGTTGATAAAGAAACTTGAATAGTGATACTTGTTAAAAAGCATGTAGAATGTTGACTAATATATAGTTTAAGTAACTTTAAATTTTAGGAATTAATTAAGTCAAAAGTAAATATGTGTGGAACGATATTATTAAGAATTCAGTTTTTGGCTTTCTTCAAAAAAAAAAAATGAATTCAGTTTTTGGCTAAAATGATTTGATTTAGTCAGCAATTGCTAGTGAATATTATTTATTTGGTTAGCATGGCATACTTGAGATTAATAAGTAATTAGGAAGCCATTAGTGAATAAATAAAATAAATCTATTTGGTAAAGTTTTATTATTTTGTTCATGAATTCATAGTTGCATGGAATATAAATTATTGGAATGAGTGTGTAGGATTATAGACACCTAAAAATGTCTCCCCAAAACCAAACCCGACGATGAACAACTTTTCACTGTCACTATTGGTCGGGTTCAGTATTTAATCCTGAGAGTGCTTAAAAAATCGTATTTAATTAAATTCAATAGTCCATGGATCAGTATTTTATTGTTTTATTATTTATTTTGGCCCAAACCTTTTATTTATTTTACTTATTTTCTTTTTTTTAGCCCAAATAATAATAATAAATCAGAAATGGCCCGAAATTACCAATCGACACTTAAAATGTTGAACGAAATTAGGGTTAAAAATGAATTTAGACGGAAAAACGGACCACAGACTCCCGCGTCACGGGAGCTGTCCACCGACGGTGGGAATCACCGTGACACGGGAGTTTTCATGTCCTTTCCGCGTAAACCCTTCACGCATTTTATTCCCCGTACCCTAAAATATTTCCCGCGTCACGCAATTGTTCACCGCGTCACGGGAATTTTTCCCGTCTGGTGGTGGGAATTCCCGTGTCACGGTACACAGTGTCGTGTCGCGGTTTACTTTTTAGGGTTTTTATCATTTTAGGATTCTGTGTGTTCCCTCAACACATTTTTTCTATAAATACCCCCTCATTTCTGATGTACGGGGCAGGAATTAATTCTCTAGTTTTTTTCTCTCTTCTATGCTCTAGCATAAACACTAGCCTACCCTTATTCTTTCAAAATTCCTTCTTCAAGCACTCCCAGGAGTCCATACTTTACTAATGGTTCTGTCCTTAAGCCAAGGCGTGAAAGGTAGAACTGTTTAAGGGTTTGGCCCCAAATCAGTTCTATTTAATTTAATTTAATTATTGTTTTATTATTAGTTCCTTGAAGTTACTAACTCGTTTATTATTTTGTAGTTGCAAACAAACAGAATCAAAGTAAGAATTATGTTCCTTTTATTTCTATTATTTTTTTAACGATTTTGTATTGTTAGAATTATTGTTAAATTGCTTCCAATATTAATGTTTATTTTATTATATTTATGATCACCATATTGCATGTTAAAGGGAATATGTAATTGAAAATCACGAGTAATAAGATAATTTGGACAACCGATTTAGGTTCCTTTTTAATCTTATTGTTTAATCAAGTGATCACAAATATTTTAGAATTATATGTTGCATTAATATTCAACCAATTTAGCTTAATAATAGTTTAGAGCAAATTGAATCTTTGTTTGTATGCCTTTGAGATCGCAGGAATCACTTTTCACTATAAGAATCGAGTAGAGGCCAATACGGGCGAATGTGACTCCATGACTCACTTCGTACCATCATCCCCGATCCTCCTTTCGTAGTTCCGAACCATATGGAGTTACTAATCTCATGGATTATGAATAGGGTGTAACCTTCATGGGTCAATCGTTGTTGCCTATCGTTGTCCCTTTATTGTGGTTGCCTTTTATGATCCGTGAACGGTTTACAAGTTCCTTAAAAAATTGTTGGCGGCTCCCTACTTTCCTTATACCTAATCGTATTATGTCAATTCCCACTTCCTATGAGTGCCAAGCATATTCACAACATGCTTTTACATAGGCGCACTTCGAGCGACGCCTACAAGGATATAATTATTTCATATCGAAATATATTAATGTTAGCAATTATTTATATCACAAAAGCATTGACACTTATGTTGATATGGAGTACAAAAAATTAGAAAAGTTAATATCATTGCTTGGATTGGATCACATGTTTGAGCTTTTTCTTGCTTTGCGTTAAATATTTTTCAATCAGGGATTACTCGAGTTGTTGGGGTTACTCAAGTTACTTGGCTTGGGGTTACTTGACAGAGTAACCCTTGACTGAGTAACTCGAGTAACCCCTGACCGAGTAACCTCTCAAGTAACCCTTGACCAAGTGAACCCCTTGATTAACCCATGTCCGAACCCCTCAAGTAACACTTGATCGAGTAACCCCTAGAGTAACCCTTGACCGACTGAACCCTTGAAAAACCCTTGTTCCTAACCCTCGATCAAGTAACCCTTGACCGAGTAACTCGGGTAACCCCTAACTGAATAACTCGGGTAACCCCTAACTGAATAACTCGGGTAACCCCTAACAAAATAACTCAGATAACTCCTGCTACAGTCTGTTTCATAATAATTGCAACACTACTTTATTTGGTAAGAGTCCACAAATATTTGTTATCTCTATCTGACCAACCCCATTTACACTTTTTTTTATTATTATTTTATATTCCTACGAACAAATAATTATATCCCAATAACTATACTTTATATTATAAAATTACGAATTTTTGTATGAAGCCTGTTGTACCGTGCAACAAGGGTTACCCGAGTTTCTCGGTATGGGATTAGTCCAAGTTGTTGGGGTTACTCGAGTTTCTCGGTTAGGGGTTACTCGAGTTGATGTGGCTGCTCAAGTTATTTGGCTAGAGGTTACTTGAGTTAGTCCTTATTGAGTAACCCCTTAAGTAACCCCTGACCCAATAACCCCTTGAGTAATCCATGACTGAACCCCTCGAGTAACCCTTACCCCTCAAGTAATCCTTGATTGAGTAACCCTTGATTAAACCCTTAAGCAACCCCTGACCAAACTCCAAAAATAACCCATGACTGAGTAACCATTGACCGAGTTGCTCGAGTAACTCATGATCGAGTAACCCTTGACTGAGTAACTCGAGTAACCTTTGACCGAGTAACCTCTCAAGTAACCCTTGACCAAGTGAACCCCTTGAGTAACCCCTATCCGAACCCCTCAAGTAACCCTTGATCGAGTAACCCCTCAAGTAACCCTTGATCGAGCGAACCCCTTGAGTAACCCTTGTCCCAAACCCTCAAGTAACCCTAACTGAGGAACTAAAGTAGTCCCTGACTGAATAACTCGGGTAACCTATAACAAATTAACTCAGGTAACCCCTTCCACAGTCCGTTTCATAATAATTGCCACACTACTTGCTTTGGTAAGAGTCCATAACTATTTTATTATTTCTCTTTTACCAACCCCATTTACACTTTTTTTTTTATTTCTCTTACCTACGAACAAATAAATATATCTTATTAACCATACTTTATATTATATAATCACAAATTTTTGTATGTAGCTTGTTGTAATGTGCGGAAAGTGTTACTTGAGTTTCTCGGTATGAGATTACTCGAGTTGTCGGGGTTTTTCGACTTTCTCGTTCAGGGGTTACTCGAGTTGCTGAGTTTACTCACGTTACTTGGTTAGGGGTTGCTTGAGTTACTCTTTATCGAGTAACCCCTTAAGTAACCCCTAACCCGGTAACCCCTTGAGTAGTCCATGAGTGAACCCCTCGAGTAACCCTTAACTGAGTAACGCCTCCCTCTCAAGTAACCCCTGATTGAGTAACCCTTGATAAACCCTCAAGTAACCCCTGACCGAACTCTTGAAATAACCCTGACCTAGTAACCACTGTATGAGTTGCTTGAGTAACTCATAATCGAGTAAGCCTTTACTGAGTAATTCGAGTAACCCCTAACCAAGTAACCTCTCAAGTAACCCTTGACTAAGTGAACCCCTTAAGTACCCCTGTTTGGACCCCTCAAGTAACCATTGATTGAGTAACCCCTTAAGTAATCTTTTACCGAGTGAACCCCTATTCAATTCAGTTCAGCTCCAATCAGTTCATTTCAGTTCAGCTCAATCAGTTCAGTTTAATTCAGTTCAGCTTAGTTCAGTAAATATGAACAGGCCCTAAATAATTTCTTCACCCCAAAAAATTATATACAATTTACCTCACTCCTAGATAAATAATGTACTTTCCCCTAAATAAATTGCTCTTGCATAAATAGTTCGCTCACTCCTAAAAATCACATGCAATTACGTGTCTCACCCTTAAATAAATTGCTTACCTTTTCTTCAAAATATATAATACAAATAAACGATACACTAATGATATTTTATTTATTTTTTTTTAAAATGACCAATATCTTGTCTTCAAATTTAATTTAAAAGTGGTCATAAACATTTTTCTTTTTACTACTCTTTCTCATAGTTTTTAATTTTGGTAATATTATAAAGTTTATTCTCACTATCTCACCTCTTAATCTTTCCTTTTATTACTTCCATATTGTCTTAAATCCTGTCTTATATTGACATGATTTTGATATTGTACGAATTATTTCATATTCTATACAACGTACTATTTTATATTGTCAGATGTCATTATACCTTTAAGGAAAACACTTTGATACTTATTGAGAGTTAATCAATAAGTTGATAATCCAAAGTAAATTAAAATCTTTAAGGCCCTTCATTAATCATACCATGAGTTGTTAGTTGAAACTTAAATTGGTAGATTAGCTATACAAGTAATTTTTTTTCTTTGAAAAAATTCCTTATTTTAAACACATAAACATTATCCTTTTATATTTAGAAATTTATCTACATATTCTTGATAAAAAATAAATAAACAGGCTGCCTAAACTTACACTTACAAAAAGAATGATTGACAAAATTGTAAAGATACAATGAATTGTCAAAACAGAAGATATGAACAAATACGTAGTTTCAAATTTTCTGATCCTTAAGTACACCATGTTTATCCCCATAGCAAAAATTGGAGTTCTAAGAAGTTATGTATACAACGTGACCACATCTTTCTTGTATCCTCTTACAGTTAAAAGCCTTAGAATGTTTTCCACCAAAAGATCCAAGTATTCCATATAAAATATAGATGGGTAATGGAGGTGGTGGCGGTAAGCTAACAAGTACCACAACTGTCATTCTTGAGTATCTTAGCAACTTCAAGGTAGTGTAAAGAAACTTCTCCACCTGTTGCTCATTCACAACTACAGGTTTACCATCAGCCATCAAAGGAGTGTCGTCCCTCTTAGCTATTTCTTTCATCTTTGACATGACAAATGTAACAAGAGTGGGCCTACAATACAATCACCATTGTAACAATCAAATTCTCATTACAATGCAAAACAACAAAATCTTCAAAATTTAAAAGCTAACATTAATCTCACACAATATCATTCTTTCACAAGGATACAAAGAGCTAATATAATTTGTTATTTTCGTTCTATTTTCATGAGTTTAATTATGAAATTAAACCCATTTTTAGGTAGTAAGAAGGCCTTCTAACTACCTAAAAACCATTTTTCGGACTTTCTTCTAGCTCTAACAAGCCAATCATGCTATTTCTACAAGAGCACAGTGCCCAATTAACAAAAACCTTCATGATGATACAAAGTATCATATATTCTTAATACAGAGTATAATATAAGACAAAAACCATTTTTCGGACTTTCTTCTAGCTCTAACAAGCCAACCATGCTATTTCTACAAGAGCACATGCAGTGCCCAATTAACAAAAACCTTCATGATGATACAAAGTATCATATATTCTGAATATAGAGCATGGAAAGAGCCAAAAAAAAAAAAAAGTCTATTGCTCACCCGCCTATAACCTGAAATCAATGACACCAAAGAATATAACTCAAAGTGTTAAATGCTAATATCTAAACCCAGATCTTCCACATAAAATCAAATTCAAAACCAGAAAATCTGCATTTCTTCATAAAACCAAATAAATCTGCAGTAGTGAACCTTGGTCAAAGGTGGGATTAAAAAAAAAGATAACAAAACTTCAAGAAAAAAACACAAATCAATGCTGCAAGGTTGGACTTAACTATCATGAAATGTATACAAAATAGAAACAGGAAGTCACAAATATGAATAAGATAAGCCATATTATCTTTAAAACTTCATATATCACATATGAGAAAAACAATAAGAGCTTGTATTGTGCAGAACTAAGACCATTACATATAGTGACATCCCAATTATCCCATCCATTCTAATAAAGGAAAATTTACTATGAACTATCAGCATATGCTGGAGGAAAAAGAATAGCAATTGATAATAGGACTATAATTGAAAAAGAATTTACTATGAGCTTGTTTGAGCTAGGCCTCCGACTTCTAAATATGATAAAATGGACAAGATGGAGAAAAGGACTTTTTAATAGCTATGCTTTTGAAATTGGAACTATCTACTAAACAGTCAACGGCTTGGATTAAATGCAATGATAACTCAAAAGAAAGCAGGAGAAAATTTGTTAAGCTCGGTATGTAAGATACTTTTGGAAGTTTTAGTTCAAATATAGGTTATAGGAGTTTCTTTCAATACCTAAACATGCAAAGGAAAGCAGTCAATAAGCATTGGTAACAAGAAGAAACAACTAAACCTACCAAACAGATAGTTACTCTTACACGTTTCTTAAAACATAAAATTAGCTTATATCAATCCCTAACAATTTCACAAAAAAAATCCTCTGTAGTAATTATTGTCCGCTGTATGGAATTTCCCCGCAAAAAAAAAAATTAAGCTATTGGCATTGCTGATCCATTTTCAGACATTTAAAGGTGGTAAAGAAACTTTAATAAGCTAAAAGTTCAGATTGGCAAAACTTTATGAACATGAGGTGACAGCTTATATAAAGCATGAAGCATATCTAAAACAAAGCATACAAGAATTGCAGTTTTAAAATCAATGGTTAAGTACAAAGAGGACCCTTGAGAAAAATTCAAACAAACCTCATAATTAGTAAAAACCCCATTATGAACAACCACAAACTCATTTTCAGGACCAGAGGTCTATAGATGACTATTTCGTGGTGCAATGACTCCCATATCTAATATAGGCGGATAATTGCAACCACTTCTAAGTAATAGCAATCTAATCATAAATTTCAGCATGGAAAGAGCCAAAAAAAAGTCTATTGCTTACCCGCCTCAATGTGTTCAATCTGTAGAGGTTTCTGCCCTTAATTAAGAGGGGATGAAGTGGAGGTTGTGGTTTGTGGCCTTTGCTCCAGAGAACCTTAACCTGGAAATTGAAAGATGGTCAGTACCAGATCTTTAAGCATGTTTGCTGTCAAGATAAATGATATTTGAGCAAAGAAATGTTTTTTGGCATTTGAAGATAATCATCATAAAAGGTCTAGTATTGTGCATTCATGGAAGAAAAAAAAACCTTAAGGGACAAGAATAAGACGCCATTGGATCAGGAATTCAGCACTAAATAAATGAGTCTGTTAACATTTTGCTACAGGTACAAGTAATAGAAATACAATATCCCTCCCTTATCATTATACACATCAGTCAATACTCAAGATCATTCATCTTGATCTCCTAAACATATTTATTCCTAGCTGGATACATTTATCTTAAATCAAGTTTCCAACACGATATTGTGCTCATACATCCCATCGTATGACATTAAGAATTTACGATCATAGGACACAATAGATCTCTATTTTAATTTCATACTATCACCCAACTTAACCTCTTACAAAAGGCTAAACAAGATCATTAAGATGCTTTCCTACACATAAAACAATGGAAAACAATTTTCTTGATCTCCTAAATGTTTCGACCCTAGCTAGCTACATTCATCATGAATCCAACTATGCTCATTAGCAAACAAGACTCTAAATTTATCCAAATTGTTTGAAAAAAAAATCTAAAGTATAACCCATAAGAAGAAATATAAGTGACCTGAAATGTAAAGGGAATTATAGTAAGAGAGTCACAACCTTAGAATAATTGTATCCAAAACACAATAAATCTTTCATAGTTAACTCCAGATCAAAATCCATTCAAAATTTAGTACTTCATCATCACTACTTCAATTCAATTATCAATTACAATTAATGAAACTGAAGGTAAAACTTTTACACAAACTTAACAAATAAAAATAAAAACTAAGATTAAAATCTTACAGAGTCATAGTTGATTTGGGTGAGGTCGATAGTGATTAGTGAGGCATGGTCCCTTATATTTTCTTTGATTTGCAACCACAAATCATTAAAAAGTCTTTTACCAAAAAAATAACAGATAAAATCTTTGGAACATCAGATCAATTAATCAAGCAAAGATGAAATACCCAAACAAAATCATGAAACTGACACTACCTAATTAAAGATCTGAGCTTGAAGCTCAACACAAACCCAGAAACAATGGAACACTCAAATTATAATCCTTGAACCCGCTTTAAGGAGTATATAAAATCAGAATTTGACATACCCAGATGAGATTCATGATGGAAAAATCAAACCCCAAGTCAAAGTAGAAGTTAATGGAGAGATCAAACACCAAGTAAATTGGCGATGAACCCTAGATTTTGATCATCAATCAAATGCGATTCATAATTAAGAGTCATATGAAAACACAAACCCCTAGATTAAAGTAGAAAATACCCACAATCTATTTCATTCAAGCAATTCATCAAACACTTTAAGATCAAATATTTACAAGACAAAGGCAAATAATATAACGTTAAATTAGATTCGAATGAACTCACCTTGGCACAAACATTGACAACTCAATCAAGAATATCTTCTTTAATTCAATCTTGAACATCTGGGTTTCCTACAAAATCCCCCAAATAATAAAATCAGAAATAATCAAGCTTAGAAGAACCCTAAAGATCTGAGCTTGAAGCTCTACACAAACCTAGAAACAATGGAACACTCAAATTATAATCGTTGAACCCTCTTTAAGGAGTATATAAAATCAGAATTTGACATACCCAAAATGCAAGCAAGCAAATTGTTTCTTACACATTTCAATTCCCTAATAAATTAATATCATCCAATAAAACCCAGATCAAAATTGTTTATTAGTAACACTTAATTCAAAGACTATAAGACAAAAGGGGCATCTTTACCTGCACTTTGGCAGGAGTAATTTGGCGGATTTTAGAAGGGAAAGAAATTAAATACCAAATCAAAACCCTAACTATAATATCTGAAAGAGAGAAACGATTGGCTGGAGGATGGGACTCTTCCATTATTGTGGCTGCCACCGCAACCTTCTTTTCTGGTTTGGGTCACCATAGCTGAGCAAATAAGCAAAAGATCATGAAAAGAGAGGAGAGGAGAGGAATCTTTCTGTCCTCTCAACTCCATTCCTCTTTCTTTCTCCTCTTTCTGTCTTCTCAACTCCATTCCACTTTGTTCTAAAAAAAAACTCCATTCCTCTTTCTTTCTCCTCTTCTCTCCTCTCCTCTCAAACCCCATGAACTGGTAATGACAAGGGCGCCATAGATTGAGTTGGAGAAGTCGCCGTCGTTTGTCTCGATGCATTGAATTGAAGTGTTGCTACTGTAAAGGTTTATGAAGATTAATCTCGATTGTGTCCGAATTTTAATGTTCAAATCCGTTTTTTGGGTTTTTAGAGTGATTGATATGATATTTTTTGCCCCTTTTCTGTCGATCAATGTAGGTCATGATTTAATTCTAATTCAAACTTTTGATTTTTAATTTAAATATTCGTTTTACTTCTCATTTATTTTAGATCTGTGGGTATTTGGTTTTTATTTTTTTAAATTCTGATTTCCATCTTTTATCAATTGATTTCGGTGTTATAATTAGATTATTTTCTGATTTTTCATGTTTATGATCTATGGGTTTTTGGTGCAAAATCTCTATTTTTGTGCGCTGTTAGTGGAAGCCTGGAAGGTGGTTAAGGTTGGTTGAGGCGCTCTGGTGGTTCCGTGGTTGAGGTTGGTGGAGGTGCTGCGGTGGTTCCGTCGTTGAGGTGGTTTTGACTTTCGACAACATTTTAAGTTTGTGCACTGCTATACATGTTAGCACATTGATAATTATTCCGTAATTAATTATAGAGAAATCTTAATGTAAATTTATTTTTTAAGGAATTTTGTTGTTAGGGTATTTTAGTTATTAGCTACTTTGTATGAATTAATAATAATAATAATAATAATAATAATAATAATAATAATAATGATATTTTTTTTATTAAAAAAGTAAGGAATAGAGAGCGCCTATCTATGATAGGCGTTCTGTTTTTATGTAGCTAGAGAGCGCCTATGCGAAGATGAGCGCTCTATTTTTCTGGTTTTTTATTTACTTTTTATATAAAATATGAAGCGCCTATCTTAGATAGGCGCCCTGTATTGTGTTAGATATAGATCGCCTCAAAGAGGCGTTCTATAGACTTTATAGGGCACCCCCTCAGAGGAGCGCCCTACAAGCGATCTATATTGGTTGTTTTAGGCGCTCTCTATTCCTTATTTTGTGGTAGTGATCTAACATCAATTCACAACTTTTCCCCCAAATTTCATCCAAATTTCTTCAAATTGCAGCTGGTACTGTGTGATGAATTTATCAATTGAAGTTCAGACTCTTGATTCGCATCAAAGGTATGAATCCAATACATCATAATTTAGGGGTTTTGTGCAATTTTGGAATTAGGGTTCCTAGGGAAATAAAATTGGGGGTTTTTTGCAATTAGGCTACATGTCTGAAATTGATTAGGCGATTCAGTTATATTTATACTAATTTGAGTTGATGTTGTCCAATTTGGTTGAATGTTTATTTTATTGAATAATTGTATGTTATGTGTTGTGTTTTGTCAATGAAAGATGTGAATGATTTATTGTTGAATACAGTTTTAAGCTAGTTCCTTTTTTGTTTTTGGATTGTGTCTTGCAGAAATGGAGGAGAATAAGTACATTTTCAGATTTAAATATTTGAGTTTTGTTGTTGACCTTGAATATGAAGTAGGCAAAAGTAACTTACAAGATACAACCATAGCTTTTGAAGATCAACTTCGTGACATGGAAGATCCAACAGAAGGATCAATTGACCTTTTGTACCCCATATTCCAGTATATTTATAAAGGAAAGTACGTATAGGACATTAGAAGATGATTGTTATTTTGGGGTTTTTTGTACGTACCTGAGTGGAGGGCGTGTACGTCCCGCGGGAGACAGATCCGCAATGCAACACTCGAACGGCCCGGTCACCTGCAAAACAACGGACCCCGGGGGGCCGGAGGTTCGCCTCCGACGATCAAGTCAGTGATCGAAATAATGTATTTTAGAGAGAGAAAGTAGAGAGAAGGGAGAGTAATTGTGGGGGGGGGGGCATTGCCCTTGGAGAGAGAATTCGATCCCTTGAAACTGATGTAATGATCAGTATTTATAGAGCATTGGGATATGTGTCTCTTAGGTTATTTAACCTAAGTAGATTGGCTTCCCACCGTTGTACGGTTTCAAGGGTTGTGGGCTTAAAGCCCATTTTCACCCATCTATCATTGAGTGACACGTGTCATGCTCTAATTGGCTCATTGAGCATTGAGCTTGCGGACAAGTGTCGAGGTGGCATTGGTCCACATATAGGGGGTATTTTTACCCCCAAACATTAGCCCCTCGGAAGGGGTTATTTCTTTTCAAGAGGAATTATTACTCCTTTTGAAGTCAAGGCTTTATTTTCCGCTTGTTCAAAAGCTCTATGGACGGCATATGTCTAGTTCAATAAAAGAGAGATTTGATTAACTTGGAAAATTTGATACCTTAAATGGTATGATATTTTCTAAGTTAATCAATCATAATAATGATTGCCTCCTGAACTAGACAGATGATGACTTTTATTTCTTTTAGCCCCACTATGGTGGTCATATGACCTTTGGGTGACTTAGAATATTTTTGAGACGTTTGACACCCCATAAGGCAGGTGGCTAATGGTCGCCTAGGGGCAGGTGGCAAATGGCCGCCTGACTCTTCATAGGATGTTGATGTTTAAAGGTTTTGATGATGAGGAACTTAAGTTACAGCAAACTCATCTCATAAAGACTTTTCAAGTGTTTGTGCAACCTAGGTGAAATTGATCTTGGAGATGGAAGAAGTAACTAAAGCTGAGAAGACTTGAAGGAGTTCTTTATCAAGAAAGTTATTCAATATAAAAGAAGAGTTCCCTAACAGGAATTGAGTTCCCTCACAGGAACGTTCCTTCACAGGAACTTGAAGATTGCTGACTAAGATCTTTGGAGGAACTTAGTAAGCGTGGAGTCCAAGTAAACCTACCAGAACAAGAGTACAGGGCAGCAATGTTTTAGTTAAGATTTTATCTTCTAGATTCATTGTTAAATATGTTAAGTAGGATATGCATGAAACTTATTAGAAGCGTGACAGTTAGCTTGGCAAATAAATTAAAATCGGAAAAAGATAAAAGATAGAAATCGGAAAAAGATTTTCTTTAAATATTTATCTCTTAAAATCAGTTTGTTAAAAAGATATTATGCTTTTTAATTCAATATTTCTATCTTATTTTCTGAAAAGATTTTCTTCAAAGGATTTAATTAAAAAACCGTGTTTTAAGATAAGTTAAGTTTTACTTATTTATCTTTATGTAAACCTACTGTTTATACAGGTAATACTTGTATAAATAGTAGAGAATAACATGAGCCTAGGTTTTTGTGAGTTTTATGCGTGAAGAATTTACAGAGCTATAGTCGTGTAAGTTTGCCAAGCTTATCATACTGTTATATTAGTTTCGGGTTTCATGCATAGCTTGCCTATCATATACTAGGTGTTAATTCTTGTATTTGGTTTTGGGTTTATTAGGGTGAGAGTATTTTCATCATTGCATACAGAGAGAGCTTCTGGTGAGAAGGGGGAAGATCTGTACTTAGGGAGTACGAGAGAGTTTGAGTGTGGGACTCAAACTGGGAAGAACAGTGATCTGTTCTGTAGCAAGTTCACTTGGAAACTTGTGAGTAGAGGTTGAATTATAATAGGTTGTAACTTGGTGTTTGCCCTATTATAGTGGAAGTATTTGTGTTTGAAATCCCTAAGGTAGGGTCGAGGTTTTACTTCTAGTTGGGCACTAGAAGGTTTCCTCGTAAACTCTGTGTGCATCGCAAGTTCCTATTTTGTTCTGTTTTATATTTGCAAAATTATTATTTAGGAACTCAACTACAATTCACCCCCCCTCTTGTAGTGTTCATCTCAATTAACATAGGACAGGAGGCAAATGGCCGCCTGACTCTTCATAGGACAGGAGGCAAATGGCCGCCTAGGGGAAGAAGGCAAATGGCCGCCTGACTCTTCAGGACAAGAGGCAAATGGCCGCCAGGGGCAGGAGGCAAATGGCCGCCTGACTCTTCATAGGACAGGAGGCAAATGGCCGCCTGACTCTTCATAGGACATGAGGCAAATGGCCGCTTGACTCTTCATAGGACAAGAGGCAAATATCCACCTGACTCTTCATAGTGCAGAAGGCAAATGGCCGCCTTGGGGCAGGAGGCAAATGGCCGCCTGACTTTTTATAGTGCAGGAGGCAAATGGTCGTCTGACTCTTCATAAGGCAGGAGGCAAATGGCCACCTAGGGTGTTTGTAATCCAATTATGCTTTCAATGTCCTTCTACCCCATTGGGAGGACTTGAATAATTTCAAAAGGTAATCTAGGTTAGAACTTTGGTCGGTCACCGGCTGATGTCTTTTGGACATCCGGTTCTCGAAGACTTGGTCGTTCTTTAGATTACCCAGGTCAGGCGACTATGAGTTGACCAATGAGGTCGTTCAATTTTTTCCGCCTGCATGCGTACGTAAAGAAAACGATAGAGTTCTTTCTGCGACGATTGCACCCGGAGGGGTGTCGTCGAACGCCAAATTTCACATTGGAGCAGACGAATTTAAAAAATGTATAACCATCCGGCCATTAGCCTCATGTCTTTTTCAAGACGGTTGTATATCCATTGCACAACTCTTTTTGCCCCAATGGGAGAGTGTGCAATTTTGGAATGAAAAGCCTAAGTAAGAACTTCGGTCGGTCACCGACTGATGTCTTATGACAACCAGTGTTCCGAAAACTTAGTCGTTCTTTAGATTGTTCTGGTCAGACGGCTATGAGTTGAT